GTTGAAAAAGCAGAATGTCCGCACTGCGCCTGTCAACCAAACGCACTAGATGCGTTAGCACGAGGCCGAGCAGGGGGTGGGGAGGGGGGTCGTTACCCCCCTCCCCATCCCCCTGCGAGGCCGAGGCTGCAACAAGCCGGAGCAGGCGGCGACGCGGCGTGCCACAGCACCGCATGCGTAGGCAAGTCCGTCACACCTCGTTGCCTCCCTGTCTATCTTAGGGGTGTGGCTCTGGGGGTTGCGCGCGTCCTGTTGTTGGAAAAACTGAATGTCTGGGGCCAGGTTGTAGCTGGGTGATCAATTTTTTTCCTTATCTGAAGCATTTTTTCTTTTTGGAGGATATGTATTTTCGTGGTAGTACAAACAAGGTTGGAAAAAGTGGTAGGCGTAAGCGAGGCGGTTGGCCTTCGCCTAGTGCCTAGGCGGTGCCTAAGCGCCCTAGGCGCGGCCTAGGCGGTAATATAGTTTTTACTCCTAGTGTATTTGGGATTATTATATGGGTGTTGATATTAGTTTAGGGCATATAAATAAGTTAATTACCGTCTACTACCATTGGAATATAACCTGTTTGGCATACTAGTGCAGTATGTGGCATCATTTCTTGCTTGCGTAGGCAATTCCTTGCTTGCCCTGCCTAGACCTCCATTTATGCCCTAGGCGAGGCGTTTGGCCATTGCCTAGCGCCTAGGCGTGCCTAAGCGCCTCCTAGGCACTGCCTTTTCCAACAGAGAGTACAAATGATGGCATTTGTACTGCTTGCACCAACGTTGAGTATTGCACTGCGTGTAGCAAGTTTGTGTGTTGGGCACCGCACAAAAGTTGCTACGGCCCTTGTCGTTCTACATTTATGCATGTACTGCACTTCAGTATACACTTTGTGAGCTGCCTTATATTTGTTCTGTGAACTGTATTCACGTTTGTTTAGAATGGTCTGCAGATTATATTTTTTTAGAAATATTAATATTAATGTTCTTTTCTATAGTTACTATTTGTGGACTGCATGTGGACACATGTGTACTTCTTTTTTTACCATTGTGAACGGCATTAATCTTTTCTTTTTTATGTATGAGTTTGTATTAACTAATTTTTTTTGTTTAATGTCGTTTTTGAATATGTTTTGTATGTGAATAGTATGTTTTGGTATCACTCATTAAATTTTTCAAAGTTGTCTAGATACTTGTTCTAATACAAACTAAGTTATGCGAAAGCAATTGATCACAAGCAAACTGACATTATTTTTACAAAAGAAATGTTCAATATGAAGCAACGCACATCATCAAAAGCTTGCATACATGAAACAAATAACAACACAACGACTAAAGTAAAGTGAAACTAAACATAGCACTGATTTTTTCTAGTTGTTGTATTGGATTACAGCCTTGTTCTTCTTCTTCTTTGCTTCTTTGTCTCTTTTTGCCATGTCTAGTCTCATTATGACATCGTAGATGATTCTCCATGACTCATATGTTGCGAATGCATCTATTGTTGTATACTTGATAAGCTTTTCTAGCAGCGGGCAAAATTCCCACAGAGTATGGTCCTCCTTGCGGTTAATTTTTTTCTTCATGTCATGGTAGTGAATGTCTATCATCCTGCCGGCAACATCAGCCAAAGAGTCAAACTTATTTTTATTCTATGGGTCTCTCCATTCCACCTGAATATCAATGGAGTTGTCGGAATTGATCTCCAAACCAGATACCTTCAGCTTGCTTTTGTCTCCTTCAATAGCGAATCCGACGAAGGTGTACTCACCATTCATGAGGAATTTGTCTAGTTCCATTGGCCTGCAATATGTTTGTATAGAGTAAATATAGTTTATTTCTTAGAACTACCAATGTTTTTTTTGTTTTTTCTGAAACGGAACTGCAATATGAATATCTGAATCTGTTGCATTGAGTAGTTGCTAATACTTTGTTCAACATAATTAGTAAATATGATAATAGATTGCATAAACAATGCATGTTTTGTGTATGCTTGTATTCTTGAACTGAATTTCATACATGTTTTGTATGGTAATGTTGCAGTTTTCTATTGTTCAGCCAAATAATTTGTATTTGGTAAAACAAAATTAAACTCCATGTGTTGCTAGATCATATAATTCAAGAATTGAACACACGAGTGACATACATGGAGCCAGATGAAAACTGTCAATGAATTCATATGCCATGCTTTTCAAAAGTGAAAACCAAAGTTTAAATATTTGGCAATTGCAGTGAAGAAAATTTAAAATCAATATTGACAAGCAATAGTACAGATTGATAGTTATTCTGACCTATCTTTAGCTGCAGAGATGTGGTAGGCAAGGCATTCTTTCTCTACGCATAGCTGGAGCACTGCTGCCCGTTGTGGCTTCACGTAGTGCGTGTACTCGACATCAACGCCGACTAGTTTGACGGGCATTCCGTCGAGCTTACTCCTAAACGTGGACAACATCTTGTCCATGCCTTTACCCTTGCTTGTGCAAATGACGTGGAGCTTGTGGTTGCCGTGGAGGTGGACGTCGTGGAGCTCCCTGGTGTACGTGCGGTGCTGCTTGTACAGAAGTGCCTCCGCCATGACACTCCTCTGCTCTCTCGTGTTTGTTCTGGAGAGAGAGATTAGTGAAAGGAAGTGTGGAGAAGAAGATGCAATGGGGTATTGGGGGGGCGAAGCAGTTGTGTTTTCTCCTCTGCTCTCCTCTGCTCTCCTTGACAGGACGTGGGAGAGGTGGAGCGGGGTGGTAGCATGGTGGGGCTCTGTTTTAAGTTACGTGGCAACTGAAAAGAGGTTCGGCTATGAGGAGGCTCTGTTAGTGCGTTGGAAATCCGAAACATCGTCGCCTCTTTTTTCGTGACTAGTTCAATGTATTGACGCAACTATCGAAAAATGTGATGATTGTGTATTCGGTGAATTTTCCAAGTCAGTGCACTTCTTTGCTATCAGAACAAAACTACATATGTCCACATAGTGTACTGCATTGAAGTGAAATTTATTCTTCGTACACTGAATTATATCGGATTAGGATTCACACAGATGTACGCACATTTAGTTTTTTGATGGAGTTCTTTCTTTTCTTCTTTTTTTTGTGGTAATACAGCTTTTGTGTGGATGGAGGGTAGTGTGGGTAGGGGTGTCGGACTGCTTTGCTTAAGTAACAGGGCTGCATTCTTCATTTTAGCCATAACTGCATTACAGACTGAAGAGAACTGCAATTCAGAAAAAAAGAATACTTCGTGCTTCCACGTGGAGAACTGCATTGTTCTACGTCGTGGACTACATTTGTACGTTGACTTCGGGCTTCCTATGTTTAATTTATTAATAGTTTCTGGCAGTGCCGATGCACTTTTTTTTTTTGTTATTATTCATTTAAAAAATGTTTCTCATTTTTCTTTTTCATGTTTTATTTTTGAACTTATTGTTTTTTCTTAGTGGTCTTGTTGGCCCTGTGTTCGAATAGTGAAGACGCATTTAGGCCCAAGTCGGCCTCTAAGCGCGGCTGGTTCCCGGTGCCCTGTGTGTGCGCTCTAATGTTTAGTACCACCTCACAGGCGGAAGGCTCCCCCGACCTGTTTATAAGCGCTGGCGAGGCATATCGGTCGAACTCCTCTTGTTACTTATTTGGGAGCTTATAGACAACACTCGCTGCTCTATGCTCTCTGACCTGTGGGCCCATGTGTGGCCGGCCCCATGCATTGTGACTCAGAATGACTCACCTTCTATGGGCGCAAACCTATTACGAGACTAGCTGGGGCCGGTAGAACCTGGGTGGTCAATTTTTTTTTCTTTGTATTTTTTGTCTTAAGTATTTTTTTTCAATGTCGGGGCGTGCACTGCTTTTAGTAAATCATGCGTGCACTGCATTGATCAGGGTTCTGTACTGCATGTGCACGCATTCCATACTGCATGTACCGTTCTCATTTTTTGTTTCCGTGGTTTTGCTATTATGTAATCTTTTTCCCAATGTATGGGAGTGCGCTACTTAGTAAATCATACGTGTAATGCATTGATTATTGTTCTGTACTGCACGTTCATATATTTCTGCACTGCATTGATTATTTACGTGTTTGCATTTTTCTTTTTGTGCTTTTGCTCTTATGTATTCTTTTTTCAAATTTAGGTTCGTGCACTGCTTTGTTGGGTATGTTAAAACTTCATTCGATAGAGTCAGTACTGCACTCGTACACAATTTGCACTGCATGTGTCCTGTTTGCACACTTCATCTTATTTTCGTTTTGTGCACTACTCGAATCTAATGATACATGAGCAGACAACAGAAAACAAATTATCACAAGCATTCTGTAGGACAAGTTCATCATCAGCAAACTAAGTTGAACAGAAAGCAATCTAACATAATCAAAGTTCATCATTACAAGCGATTATGCATGGCAAGCAAACTAAGTTCAGCACACAAGCAAACTAACGATACATAAGCAAACAACATTAAGGTAATTTAATGATAATTCTAAAATTATGCTGGCATTGTTGGCTCTTGGCCAGCACCATCTTCTTCTTCACCAGTTAGGCTCTTCCCACCCCCAGCTGCTCCTGGCGCGCTTCTTGGGGGGCTCCTCCTTCTCCAGCTTTGCACGGCGAAGCCCGTCCTAGGTGAGGGTGATGTGGTTCCATATCTCGTACGCTGTGTAGGCGTCCTTTGACGCGTACTCGATGTGCCTCATGGACAGAGGCAGGGTGGCCCAGCACCTGTGCTCGTTGTTGGTGATGTTCTTCTTCATGTTGTTGTAGTAGTCATCGATGAGCATGCCAGAGACGTCTCCAAGGGAGTCCAACTCCTTGGTTGCCTCGGGCACCCTCCACTCCTAGATGTCGACGAAGTTGGCGACCTCTAGATTGACGCGCTGTAGCCTGGTTTTGTCGCCGTCGATGGAGAAGCCTGCAAAGGTGTACCTGGGGTCGGCGAGGAAGTTGTCAAAGACGGTGCACCTTTCAGTGGCGCTCATTTGGAAGAGCAGCATCGGGTGATTCTTGCCGATCGAGAGCTGGCAGAGGGCGGGTTTCTGCGTCACTTCAGGCTCGTTGTTGTACTCGAGATCAATGTCGACGATCTTGTGGCCCTGGAGGCTGAGGTGCCGCTCGTACTGCGTGAGGGAGATCGCCATCTGCTTCTTGTCGTTGGTGTGGATGACGTGCAACTTGGTGTTGCCGTGGGCCTCCACGGCCTTGTCGCCCTTATAATCGTCGGTGAACGCCATCTTCGGTATCAGGGCTTGGTGCTTTTGCGTGGATATGCAGCGATTTGGTGGCAGCGCAATGGATACTTGTGTTGTTGTGGATGAGAAGGCCTTTGGCAAGGGTCTGAATTTAAGGGGAGGGCGCGGGGTGGGATGGCCGCGTCGGATGAACTGCACGATCTCGCTGACGATGCGGTTGTGCAGATCGTGGGTTGGTGTTGCATCTGTGATCGTGGGCTTGTGGCGATGGACCTGCTCTGATTAGGTGGTTGTATGCGAATGTAGTTTTTTATTAACGTGGTTTTATTTTATTTTTGATCAGTAAATTTTTTTTAACCACCACTTTCTATGTGAACGTGCATTTTGTCACATTTTATATATGTATACTGCGTGAGAACAGAACTATGTTGCTTATAGTTCTGAACTGCATCGTCTACAATACAGAACTGCATTTTTGTCTACAGGTGCGTACTTCACCATTTTTTGTGTGTCATTGCTGCAGCCCTAAAAAAGTACAATGTATTCCGCTATTTTATGATTTTTTGTTGTGTTCTATGCCGAGTATTTATTCATGTAGGTAATCCGGAACTGGATTGCTACACCGTACTGCATCGTGTAAGAAAGTGCACTGCATTTTTCTACTGTCGCATACTGCATCTTGTTTTTGCCTGTACTTACTGCAGTCCCTGGTACGGGAGGGGTAGGGGAAGGGGGGGTTGCCCCCTCCCCCCACTTTTTTTGAACTTATGGTTTTTTCTTAGTCGGCCTTGTTGGGCTTGTGTTCGGGTAGTGAAGACGCATTTGGGCCCAAGTCGGCCTGTGAGCACGGCTGGTTCCCGGTGCGCTGTGTGTGCGTCCTAATGTTTAGTCCCATCTCGCTGTGGAAGGCGCGCCCGACCTGTTTATAAGCGTTGCCGAGGCCGTCGTATCGAACTCCTCTGGTTACTTATTTGAGCGCTTACACACGACGCTCGCTGCTCTATGCTCTCTGACCTGTGGGCCCATGTGTGGCCGGCCCCATGCATTGTGACTCAGAACGACTCGCCTTCTGTGGGCGCAGACCTACTACGAGACTGGCTGGGGCCGGTTGCACCTGGGTGGTCAATTTTTTTTCTTTGTATTTTTTTCAATGTTGGGGCGTGCACTGCTTTTTGTAAATCATCCGTGCACTACATTGATCAGGGTTCTGTACTGCATATGCACGCATTCCGTACTACACGTGTTTTGCGCTACATTTTTGTGCACTGCATAGGTAGTATTTTTGTTTATTGTTTTTCCTCTTACGTATCCTTTTTTCTTAGTGTACGGGTGTGCACTGCTTTGATGCCTCTATGCGCACTGCATTCGTCATAGTCCTGTGCTGCAGGTGTACACATTTTGCACTGCGTGCATCCTTCTTTGTGCCAAAGTTGTGACTGGTTATGCCAACGCTGCGGACTACATGACTTACATTTAAGGACTACATCAGGTGCAGTAATTTCTGCTTTGTGCACTGCGCGAAAGTGCTTCTCTTTTGCTTCATTTTGAGCATGTACTGCACTTAATGCACACATATAGTGAACTTCCTGGTAGGAATTTGGAGAACTGCACACATAAAATGGTCTATTTGGATTATAATTTTTTAGAGAATTATTATTTGATGATCTGCGGTTTGTTCGTGGGAATTGCTGTAGTCAAAGTACACCTTCTTTTTTGGTTCCTTTTTCTTTGGTAACATAAGCCTTTATTGATTGTCCTTTATTCTCGGGAACATAATTTTCATTAACTCCCCTTTAATTTTCAGTTTTGACCTTTTTGCATTCCTCTTCTATAAATGTAGGCTAACTTCTACCCTTCCGTTGCAGTTCATTTATCCTCTAGCCGCAAGTTCTCTCCTTTCTCCAGCCTCTATTTATTTTTTTTCCTTTTCTAGTTTTTTGTTGCAATGGCTCCAAGCCCCTGTGCGAATCTATTCTGTTGCGGCCATGGTTGTGGTGTGCCGACGCACTGCGATTGTTCAGCTTGCTCGCAGGCCCGTCGTGCTCGTCGTGGTGGGAAGGTATTGTGCCGAAATGGGCGAGCGAAGCAGCTTGCATATGGTACAGTATTCACGGAAGGATTGGATATGGGCCAGATCAACGTTTCTGCATTCTATTCTACCCTGCTTCGCCGTGGCCTTGGCCGCACAAGTCCTTTTGTCCATCAGCTTACGCCAACAGATGTGGAGACTCACTACAAGATGGTATGTTTTGTTAGATATGATTTTTCTCTTTGTGTTTTCTTTTTTTGTATAATTCCATTCTATTCTGAACTTTTAGTATTTTAATAATGCACTTTTTTTTGAAGTGTACTGCACTGTGTTCTTATTTCTTGTTTTTATTTTTTTGCTTGTGTGCATGCAGCTTGTGTTTTAGTTTGCATGGTTACAATATGTGAACTGCTTATATATTAGCTGAGCACTACATGTTTCCACATTTTTTTCCCAATTTGTATGATGTGTACTACATGTAGCTAGTCTCGAGTACTGCATGATAGTTCGAAGCATACTGCATATTTGCAAGTTCCGTACAGCATATTAAATTGCATTTTATCTGTACTGCTTGTTGGACTGTTGTGCACTTCATCTAGCTCGTGTATGTAGTTTGTGTAGGTTTTTACCGCTCCGTGCACAGTATGAGAATTGTACTGCTAGTATCGTTCTCAAACAAGTTTATTATTTTTTGCAGAAAAATCTTCAACGAGATGTTAGGTATCTCCGGCTCAAGAAGAAGGGAATTCTTCAAGTTGTTCTTGGTAATGGATACCTTAAACCAGCCAAGTACAGTGTAGGCATTGACGGGCGGCTGTGTCTGCAGAAAGGGTGGAAGGAATTTGTCATTAATAGTGGCCTGAAGTCTGAGAAAGTTGTTGTCCTCAACTTCTTTGAACTCAAGGATCGTACGGTTAGAATCACGTTTGACGTGATTGGTTAAGGTTATGAGGTTGATTTGTAATAAGTACTTTTGCGTGTCGAACGCTTCATCTTTTTCATGTGTTTTGTAATAAGCACTTTTGTGATCTGAACCGCTTCAATTATTCTTCTGAACTTCGTGCCGCCAGTGAGCTAACAACATTTTTACATGGTTTTTGAACCAAAATGTGTCAATGTTTTACTCTAGACTGCTATATATATGGTATACTCTATATACCATTTTCTATTTACATGGTTTAGTTGAATAACCCATAGTCAACGGGAAATTTGTGTTTACACAAAATTTAAACTGATACATAAGTCATAGAGATAAGCAAACTGCTATGCATATGATTAACTTATTGAAGTTCATCTATTTGGTCGTTAACTTGCTGCTTCTGCGCGGTGACTGGAGCGTGTCTAATGTCGCACTTTCTTTTGTTTTCCGTGGTGGTGTTGCTGGTTCTTGTCTCTACACCGTTGTGTTTGTAGCCCCTCGTGTGCTGGTTGATGGCTGCTTTGGTTTTTCAGCGATGCGAACTGCATCCTTCTTTGCTCCCCGCATGCTGGTTGATGACTGATTTGGTTTTTTAGCACTGCGAACTGCATCCTTCTTTGCTCCCCGCGTGCTGGTTGTTGGCTGCTTTCGTTTTCCAGTGCTGAGAACTGCATCCTTCTTTGCTCCCCGCGTGCTGGTTGTTGGTTGCTTTCGTTTTCCAGTGCTGAGAACTGCATCCTTCTTTGCTCCTACCTTATTTTTTGAAAGTGGTGTCGTTCTCGATTTTTTCTGTACAGCAGCATTCCCTTGTGGTGGTCTTGTTGGCAGTGTTTCTTCATGTTCTTCACTCTCTTCACTCTCTTCTTCCTTTCCTCATCTTCACCATCTGTTTCTTCATAAGCCACTATTTCTTCAGTTTCTTCACATTCTTCGTCCTCTTCACTCTCTTCTTCTTCCTCCTCTTCTCCATCTGCTTCTTCATAAGCCATTTCTTCTTCAGTTGTGTCACCATCTTCTTCTTTGATCTCATCTTCTTCGTCTTCCTCATTTTTTGATCTAGTTCTTTTGAGGCAGGTTCTTGAATTGTGTCTCTTCCTCTTTTTGCAGATGCTACAACGTCTCGGTTTCGTCCATTTCTTAGTGTTGTGAGTGGAATTTTTGTTTTGTTGTGCATCGCCATGTCCTCGTTTTTCTTTTTCATTTCTTTGTGTTCATGTCCTGGAATTGTGGCCGCTGATTTCATTACATTTTTTGCACCTTCTTATTCCTAGTGGGTGACCATCACTGTCCAGCTCAGGCTGTGGCTTACTGTTTTTTTCATCATTTTTCTCCTTGCATGCAACCTTTTTCCTGGGTTGCGTAGCCCCCTTTCTTCCTTCCTCTTGTGTTTGAAACAGGAGGTGGAAGAATTGTTTCTTTTTTATAGAACCAGTTCCGTTGTGTTCAGTATTTTCTACTTGCTCGGCATTATTGTCATGCTGGGATTTCTCTGCTTGCTTTAGTTTTGCTGCTTCTTCTCCTTCTTCGTTGAGCATGTCAACTTCCTCGATCAGTGCCCTCATACCAGACAACACTCTATGGCACCCAGTGTCGGACCTTGTCGCTCTATTTGCAAGGTTCATTGTTGTTTCTGACAGCAATTTTCTACGGCAAAAAAGCGAGGTTCCATCTGGTGTTGTTTGTTCGTAGTCTCTTCTGTCAAACGTTGCATCTGATCTTGCATTACAGGTGTATCTTTTCATGATGTACACCTCAGGAATCTTGAGTACTCTCAAATGAGAAAGCATGCATAACACATGGACGCAAAAGAGCCCTGCAGACAAACACATGATTTTTTTTGTAACTGAACTGCATGAAATTAATAAACATATTTTTTTGTTATTTGTTCATTTTTAAAGAAGTGAACTTCATTTGGTTTTGTGAATTACTCATGCATGTGGACTTTTAAAGTTCAGTAAGTGAGCTTTCATGCATGACTATCAGAAACTAGAATATTTTTTTGCTAGGAGTATCACCTGTGTGTGTCTAGAGTTTGCACTCACATTCGTAGACACCTTTCTCTTCATCAGCGACCACTTGGAAATTATGCCTTGC